AAATCCTGGATCTTGGGGCTCTGTACACCCAAAGCCAACTCGATCTTGCCAGGGTTCAGCCGAAGACTTGTCAGAACTGCCATTCTTTGCTCGCATGTATGCTTCACTAGATGCCAGTCTGCCATAAGTCATGGGGGGGAGGGAGGTGTGGGAAGACGAGGGGGAAAAGTGATCTTCATGCCATCCTGAGACATCCCGAGTCCGCAGACCTGGGAATGGAATGCAACGCCTCTCCTTCTACCCATCCGTTGCAGGGAGGGTGTCAATAGTCTGACTAAGGAATCCAACAAAAGGATCCCGCAAGGCAGTTAAGAAGGCAAGAGAAGTGCCCACTGATGCGTAGAGGGGGAGGACCACTTTCTTCGACCGCTAGAGAGAGTCCGTGTCACCATTGGCTGCGTTCCAGAGTCCGTTTCCAGGCTCTCATGGTCCATGAATGGCTTCTTGGCATTCCATTTCCCCCCTTCGCTTTCTACCCCTCCCCCCATCTCTATGGCAAGTTGATTAGTGATAGAAGCTAGCAGGCATCATAGTGATTCAATCTTGAGAGACAGTTACCAAAACATCTTCGAATATGACTAACTTTACTAATGTTCTCTTACTAATGTACTATTGTCTCTTCTCTTCCCCTTCAGGAGTAACTCATTTTTCAAGGGGGGGCAGAATGTCAGAGCTGCCATTCTTTGCTTGTACGTATGCTTCGTTAGATCCCAGTCTGCCATAAGCCGGGGGGGGGGGAGCTGTGGGAAGACACAGGGGAAACAAAAAATGATCTCTTCCTGCTGTCCCTGGGCATGGAGTGCAACACCTACCCATCTAACCAACTGTTGCAGGGACAGTTACCAAAACATCTTCTTTGAAGTGACTGGACAACGGGGACATAACAGAGGGGTGGAATGGAGAAGGGAAAGTTAATCAGGGAATCTTTGCGTGGAAACCTTTAGATCCAGCTTTGCTACTGTACTTTGCTATTACTTTTAGTAAAAGTAACCTTTTCACAATGAATGGAGTTGAGCATATTTCTTTCCTAAGAGACCAGGCTGAGCCAGGCTTGACCGCCACCCATCCTGAACTAAAGAAGTTAAAGTCCTGGCTCTTGGGGCCGCATGCACCCAAAGCTATTTGGTCTGGATCTAGGACAACTCGCCGTGGCAGATTCACTGCAGCCATCTTGACACGGCCAAATCGCCGTGGGAAAATTCCACGCAGGATAATTCCACACGATAAATGTTACCCACCACTGTTTCTTCGACATTATTTCCATTCTTGTCAATGTCGAGTTGTCTGTGGTGAGCTGTCCTATTCCAATTTAGTCTTGCCGAGGTTGAATTGAAGCCTAATGTCCCCCATCCAGACCCCCTGTTCTGTCCCAGCCTATGTGAGTCATTGTTAACTCCCAAGGACAAACCCCTCTTTTAACAAGTAGGCTGGAAATGCAGGAAAAACCAACCCCTTTTATTGTTATTTACAGACATGCAAAATGTCCCCAAAGCAAAGGCAAACAAACTACGATGCAAACGGAGAATTGTCCAAAGGCAAACAGAACATGATTCAAACAGAGAATTGTTCACAGGCAAGGCAAACAGAACATGATTCCATGAAACTTGAGTCCTTTGCAAATGGTTGCCTTCAGCAACCAGCACCGCCCACACCGTCCCTTTTCATTATGCAGCCCCAAGGCGTGGCTTCTCAATGCCTTCTCCTTCGCCCTTGGAGCCGCTCCATTGCCTCCCTCTTTCCTGTTCTTGTTGCCTGTCTGCGTTTGCGAGCATCTATGATGTCTTCCAGCTGTGACTCCTCAGTCTGACTCAGATTCCCAGCACAGCTGGGTCTCAGCCTGAGCACGAGTGGAGGGGCCAGGCTCTTCATCAGATTGTAAGTCCTGGAGGTCATCAAAGCCTTCATCCAACTCTGATGGCTTGCCAGACTCCTCCTCCTCCTCCTCTGATTCCCCGGACTCAGCTGCCGGATACAGTGGCTGGCATGGAATCACAGTCTCCAGGCACTGCTAGAGGGCAGCCAAGCATCACATGGATCACAAGAGTGGAGATATAGACCTGACTATCATCAGCATATTGACGATACCTTAAGCCATGGTGATGGATAATCTCACCCAGCAGCTTCATGTAGATGCTAAAGAGGAGGGGGAGAGTACAGAGCCCTGCGGTACACCACAAGATAGTGGCCGAGGGCTGGACCTCTCACTCCCTATCAATACCCATTGGGACCAGCCACGGAGAAAAGAGCTGAACCAGCGCAAGACTCTGCAACCGAGCCCCAACCCTCTCCCTGTAGCTGGCCCCAAAGGATACCACACTCAATGACATCAAAAGCCGCTGAGAGGTCAAGGAGAGCAGGGATGGATGCACCACCCCCATCCTGCTCTTGCCAGAGGTCATTGACAAGCACCACCAATGCCCTTTCTGTCCATAACTGGGCCTGAATCCTGACTGAAAGGGGTCCAGACAATCCGTTTCATCCAGGACCCTCTGGAGCTCTCAGCCCACCACCTTGTCCCCAAACTTCCCTAAAAAAGGGTTGATTGGAAATCAGAAGTTGTCCAAGCAGATAGGATCAAGCGATGGTATTTTGAGGAGGGGGGCGAATGAGGGTCTCTTTAAAGGTTTCCAGAAATGTCCCCTCCTGAAGTGATATATCAGTGGTGGCGAACCTACGGCACTCGGAGCCCTCTCTGTGGGCACCAGTGCCGTTGTCCCAGCCTCCCCTCCCCCATGACCCCCTCCTCACCAGCAACCACCCTGGAGAAGAGTCGCCCCCAAGCGTGGCCCACACGGAGCAGCGCAGCCAAGGACATGGCAGCCAGGCAGCGTAGACAAGACTCTGCCCTCACACCCCATCACGCACAGTTGATGCTGCAGGGCGTGGGCAGAGGGAGTGGCCGCCATGGCGCTGCTGGGCTGCCTGGGCGATCTGCGGTGGGTCCTGGAGGCAGTGAGTGGCCCTGCGGGCAGGTGGGGTGGGAGGCGGGGTGGGGGGCGGAGCAGGGGTGGGGCCAGTTTTGGGGCACTCAGTCTCTAAAAGGTTCGCCATCACTGTGATATATTAATCACCGCTTGAACTCACATGCTGGTCACCATCCTGGAGGCTTTTACCATCCAGGAAGGACAAAGAATGTAACTGGACCCATAAGGGGAGACTAAAGTACTTAGTACAGTGGAGAAGTTATCCAATAGCAGAAGCGAGATGGATCAAACCCCACAACATCAGAGCAGAATGTTTAATAAATAGATTTCATGCAAAGTATCTCCAGAAACCAGTCCTCCCCCCCTTAAGTAGGAAGCAGAGAAAGAAGAATGGCTTTAATATGTGTTTATTACTATTCAGGTTCCTTCCAGGTTTTAGGAGTGTCCGCCTGTCAAGTTTGAAGCATGTTTTAATAATAATAATAATAATAATAATAATAATAATAATAATAATAATAATAATAATAATAATAATAATAATAATAATAATAATAATAATAATAATAATAATAGCAGCAGCAGCAGCAGTAGTAGTAATAGTAGTAAAGTTGGAAGGGATCTTGAAGGTCATCTAGTCCAACCCCCTGCTCAGGCAGGAAACCCCATACCATTTCAGACAAACGGCTTCCAATCTCTTCTTTAAAAATTCCAGTGTTGGAGCACCCACAACTTCTGGTGTCAAGCTGTTCCACTGGTTAATTGTTCTAACTGTCAAGAAATTTCTCCTTAGTTCCAAGTTGCTTCTCTCCTTGATGAGTTTCCATCCGTTGCTTCTTGTCCTGCCTTCAGGCGCTTTGGAGAATAGCTTGACTCCCTCTTCTTTGTGGCAGCCCCTGAGATACTGGAAGGCTGCTATCATGTCCCCCCTTGTCCTTCTCTTCATTAAACTAGACAGACCCAATTCCAGCAACCGTTCCTTATATGTTTTAGCCTCCAGTCCCCTGATCCTCTTTGTTGCTCTTCTCTGCACTCTTTCTAGAGTCTCAACATCTTTTTTACATTGTGGTGACCAAAACTGGATGCAGTATTCCAAGTGTGGCCTTACCAAGGCCTTGTAAAATGGTATTAACACTTCACCTGATCTTGATTCTATCCCTCTGTTAATGCAGCCCAGCACTGTGTTGGCTTTTTTGGCAGCTGCAGCACACTGCTGGCTCATATTTAAGTGATTGTCCACTAGGACTCCAAGATCCCTCTCACAGTTGCTACAATTGAGCAAGGTACTCCCTATACTGTACCTGTGCATTTTGTTTTTCTTGCCTAAATGTAGAACCTTACTTTTTTCACCATTGAATTTCATTTTGTTAGATAGCGCCCAGTGTTCAAGTCTGTCCAGATCCTCCTGTATCCTAAGCCTGTCTTCTGGAGTGTTGGCTATTCCTGCCAGCTTGGTGTCGTCCGCAAATTTGATGAGTTCCCCATCTATCCCCTCGTCCAAATCGTTGATGAAGATGTTGAAGAGCACTGGGCCCAGAACAGAGCCCTGGGGCATCCCACTACACACTTCCCTCCATGTAGATGCAGTTCCATTGAGGACCACACGCTGAGTCTGACAGTTATAGCTTCTCAGCTTGCCAACAAACTTGGGGAGAGGGATAGGGGACCAGAATGCAGACTTTAAAAGATCAAGAAAGCAGGTCGTGAGAACCAAGGACAGTTCACCAGATGTCTGGCCAGACCCAAGGACACTTTCTCATAACAATATTTTCCCTCCTAATTGGGCAATGTGACCTGACCAAGAAGGAGGAGGGGGAATTCTATACTTTTACTATATGGGGCTAGGGTGGGGTTTTGCCAGGGCTGATTTTGCTTGCATGCATGCCGAAATGATGTACTCAATAAAGTCTTTCATTAAGAGTTTGGAAAGTCTCGATGGATTTTACTTGGTTGGGTTCATCAGTCGGAATCTTGACGCTGGTGATAAGTCGATTTTTCCAAGGGCATTGTAACTTTGAAAGGTCACTAAACGGATGGGTGTAAGTCGAGGGCTACCTGCAACCAGAAGCCTGATTTCGGTTACCCCAAACTCTGTCTCTGTCCCTTCCTGTGTGGAGTGGTCAGTCCCAGCAGCATCTCGCAGAATTCCCAGAATATCTCAGCCATCTGGTCATCGCGGGCTTGTGGCCAGGGCACCTTCGGCTGGCAGTCCTCGAAATACTGCCCACTCAGCCTCTCGATGCCCTCCTCGGTGGCGCAGTAGATGGTGGTCTGGGCCCCAGTGTTGCTATCTTGGAGGAACGGCTTGAGGATCCAAATCATCCAAGGGGGATAGAAGCGAGTCATTTCGGTGTGAACAAATCCTAAAAACAAAGGCTGTGAGAGCAGGGCGGGGATGGAAGGTTGCCTGGATTTTGTTGGGGGGGGGAGGTCCCACATGAACCCTTCGCACAGCATCTGTTTCCTCAAGGAATCACGGGAGATTTGGGCAACAGTGGTAGAAGTGAGCGGCATTTATGGAGACGAGGAGGAGGAGGAGGAGGAGGAGGAGGAAAGGGAGGAGGAAGGATGGGAGGAACAGAAAAGGCAGAAGGAGGAGGACAAAGAGGAGCAATAGACTGGGGAAAGCCTCATCCCTGCCTTAGACAGGAGGTTAGACTAGAAGACCTCCAAGGGCCCTTCCCACTTTAAGCTTCTTGGATTCTATTAGCTCCTGGACCCAGAATGGGGGAGACACTTCCCTCTACAGCTGAGCTCGATGGAGGAAACTCTCGGAGTGGCTCTGCAGAGGGGTCGAGGGGGCCCCCAGTGGGAAAGAAATGCCTGGCAGAGCCCCAGACGGACCTGGGAGGTGTCTCCATCTGGGGCTTCTTGGAGCCGGCCTTCCACTCACCTGGATGAACTGCATAGCAGGTGACGTTGGTTCCTTCCAGCCGGTTGGCCAACTCTCGTGTGTGGAGAATGTTGGCTAGTTTGCTGTTGTGGTACGAATTTATGACCTGCCACAACCCCTCTCCCGGCTTGTGGATGGTCCGAAAGTCGATCTTCCCAATGCAATGCATAATCGAGGCCAAGATTATGACCCGGCTCGGGGCACAGCGCTTCAGCCGGTCCAGGAGCAGGTGGGTCAGGAGGAAGTGGGCCAGGTGGTTGACCTGGAAGGCCTCATCAAAGCCATCAGTGGTATGACCAGCCTTCATGACCCCTGCCAGAAAAATAAGCCAATTACAGGTAGTCTTCACCTTACAACGGGTAACTTTGTGATCATTCAAGGTTACAATGAATGTAATTACCAAATGGCAATTACGACCTGGTTCTAAAGTTCCAGTGGCTCCCCCTTGTGGCCACATGATCGCCTTCTGGGTGCTTGAAGACCAGCCTGCCCTTCGCAACATGTCAAGTGATCGTGATTTATGACATTTTTTTTTGCCAAAAAAGACATTTACTTGCAGTTTTCAGCAAAAACACTTATAGTGAACAATCGGTTCACTTAACAACCTCTTCAAAAAAGGGGTGACCTGCTTTACAACCATCACAGCTTACAACCATAATTGGCAGGTTCCATCATGGTCATAAGTCAAGGATTTCATGTAAAGCATCCAGTTTGGATACTTGTAAAAATAATAATAATGGCAGGATACCAAAAACAAACAACTAAAAATAGGAGAGAGCTGCTTCTGAAGCTACAGCCAAACCCCCGAAGGAAGAGAAATCCCGGAGACCCCCACAATATTCCCACTTCCTCACCCAGATACCCCGGGAGGGGGGTTTGCTCTGCACCCACCGGCATTGTTGATGAGGATGTCCAGACGGGGCTCCAATTTTAAGAAGGTCTCTGCGAAAGCTCGCACGGAGTTGAGGCTGGCCAGATCCAGGATCATCAGGATCACCTCCGAGTTCCCACTTTCCTGGAAAAGAAGCAGAAGGAATCCTGAGAAGAATCGGGATCGGGTGCGATTTCAAAGGCTGATCCCGGTTTACTCACCTTCTATCTATGTCTGCTCAACTCCTGACAATCAGTTTGGGTTAGACATGTCAAACACAAGGCCTGCAGGCCGGATCTGGCGCAATATGGGCCCAGATTTGGCCTGTGAAGTTGCCCCGGAGACAGCAAGGGACCGGCCCCCACTGCCCCGGCCCACCCCAGCCTGGGTGGGCACCTCTCCAGCATGCATACAGGAGGTGGCGAGAGCGCAGGGGCCAATGTTATCAGGCAGCAGCCGCACCTACCAGCCCCTTAGCCGATGCATTCTGGGGCTCCACAGCTCACTGTGACCACCAGGTCAGCCGTCCAAGCAGCGAGGGGGGGGCGCACCGGCAGCAGGCGGAGGCAGAAGCGGGGTGCGGGGGTGGGAGGCACATGGTCCAGCCTGCCAGATGCGTCTGTCCATCCCACCTTCTGTCTTTGCGGCCAATGGGCCTGGGATGGAGCAGTTGACTGCGCAAGTGCCCGACACCTCTGACGGGCCAGATCGCGGGCCTCCCCACTGTGTCTCTGCCTCCGGCCCTCCAAGCCACAGGCAAGGTGGCAGCACTGGCAGCAGGCGGAGGCAGAGGCCACAAAGACAGAAGGTAGGAGGGAGCAGGCATCTCCGATGGGCCGGATCACATGCCTCCCATTCCCCCTTGCTTCTGCCTCCACCTGCTGTGAGTGCCACCACTGTGCCTGCTGCTTGAAGGGCTGAGCCAGTACGCACAGCGAGGCGAGGAAAGGCCAGCTCCGCCGCATGCATCGGACGAACCTCCTGCCCGCCACCCCACCTACGATGGCTCCGGCGAACGGGAAGGGAGCCCCCATGCTCAAGAGGCAGCCGGGACTGCGCAGCCCGCGCAGCACAGATGGGTCCAAGCACAACCTTTGGGCTGGCCCCCAAGCAGCAGGTGGAGGCAGAGGCATGGGCGGAGGCATTGCAATCTGGCCTGCTGGACGCACCATGTGGCTGCACAGCCACCTGCTCAGTCCCAGCTATGGCGACTGCGGGCAAGTAAAGACAGATGGCGGGGACACGGTGACACAGCACAGTCAGTCACCATTGCCATCATGCTGTGGCCCCTGCGTGCTCGGCCCCCATCCAACCTCATCTTCCAGCGAGCACCCTGGGACTCAAGGGCCAGGCCTCCCAGGGTCCCGGGCAGCCCGCACTCCCATCCGGGGGCCCCCACACTGCCCGAGAGGGTCAGAGAGACTCCTCCAGTGAATCAGGCCCTGTCCTGATTCTGCCCCCCTCTTCCGAAGTCCCCTGGATCCCCCAGCCCCCACGGACCCCCACATGTGCTCCCGACGCAAGCAATGTTGAGCTGCCCACACCCACCCCAGCCATGCCCAACAGTCAGCTGCAACAATCCTGGCCACCCTCCCCAAGGGCAACCACAATGATGATGCGGCCCTCAATGAAATCAAGTTTGACACCCCTGCTCTGGGTGGTGTATAATAAAACAATCCAGGTAATCCTTGACTTTCAATGATGCGAATTTACGATGCCACTGAAAAAAGTGATTCATGACCAGTCCTAACACTTTTGACCAGTGCAGCATCCCCAGAGGTCATGTGATCAGAATTAGGACACTTGGCAACCAGCAGTATTTCCGATGGTGGCTGTCATGGTTCCGATAGATGAGACCAGTAGAAATAAGAACTCCGAGGCAAGTGCTTTCCTCAAAGAACACATTTAATGGCTACAGAGTATCGGCACGGACAAAGGTGTAACCAAGACTGAAAATCCCTCCCCAGGTTACAAAGTAACGAGTTGAATTCCCCACCCCTGCAGTATGTCATAAATCACAATCCCCAATTAACTACCTTGGCAGGCTTTCTAACAGAAGCTTCAGCCCACCAAAACCTAGGTATCTTGACCTTGGTTCCCACAGAACAGTTATTGTTATGTCTAAACCAAGAGAATGCATCTCCCCCCTCCCGTTGCTGTGGCAACTAAAAACGAAGTGAAGATGGCTACAACTAAGTTCATTTGAAAGTTGACAGTGGTGGCATCCCAGGGTCATGTGATCCCTATGTTTTATCTATGCTGCATATCAGAGATTGCATGACATCGGTAGATGCCATACACTTAATAAATGAATAAAAATCTGGATGCAGAAAAATGGAGGGAAGGAGAGAACTGAACGGCAGGCGCTTACCCGTCTGATGTCGCTCACAGCTGATTCTCCTCTTGCTTTGTCGCGGCATGCCAGAATGACACGGGCGCCTCTCCGGGCCAGATCCACTGCTGTGGCCTTCCCGACACCGGAATTTCCACCTAGGAAACGCCAGAGAAAGGATTCACTGAGATCAGCCAGCCTTTGATGAAGCATTTGTTTGGCAGTGTTTCTCAACCTTGGCAACTTTAAGATGGACTTCAACTCCCAGAGTTAAAGTTATTGTATAACTTTAATTAGACAACAGGGAAGGCAAAACTAAACGTGAATAACAGGAAAGAACCTATTGTTCTAAGAAACCATAAAATACCCCAGAACTTGAAAACAAGCTAACAAGCCATGCTCAATAGACTATTGAATATTAGCTTGCATATATTATCTGCTAATTATAATGCACATGCAATGTATGATTTAATATATTCAAGGAGGGTAGCAGGAAATATGTAGAAGGTGGCCAGAGAGAATGTAACCTCATAGTACCTCAGCCAATGGGGAATGAGGAGGGATGGGCGGCCAGTGCAAGGAATGTATAAAGATGTTGATTTGAGATGATAAACTTTGGAGAAAACCAAGCTTTGATAGCTTCTCTCCCTGCTTATTGCAATAAATGAAGCAAGGAGTCTTGTTTCTGTGTCTTGGCTGGTTATTGGTCAGGCAAGCTTGGCACTGGTTGTGAAGGAAAATAGCCAGGAGCACATAACAGATTGGGGGCTCGTCCGGGATTTGAATCCATTCTACCATTGGCAGCAGGGGATATCCGAAGAGGAGTCTGCACCTGGGTATGTTTTTCCAGCCATAAAAGATCACCCCTGTCGGAATAAAGGGGAATCGGAGACGTAAGACGGAAAGCCAAGACCTAGTGACAACCTAAGGGAAAGTCGGCCGACTCAAAGGAGGAATAGAATAGAATAGAATAGAATAGAATAGAATAGAATAGAATAGAATAGATTAGAATAGAATAGAATAGAATAGAATAGATGGCCCACCCATAAATGCTTTTAGGAGTAAAAATGCCTGAAAGTCCTTTTAAGTGTTTCGTTAATCAGACACATGACAACCATCTCAGACAAGGGATTGTCCAGTCTCTTCTTAAAAATCTCCAGTCATGGAGCACCCACGATTTCTGGTGGCAAGCTGTTCCACTGCTTAATTGTCTTCCCTGTTAGGAAGTTTCTCTTAATTCCAGGTTGTTTCTCTCTTTACTCAGTTTTCAATCATTGTTTCTTATCCTGCCTTCTGGTGCTTTGGAGAATAGTTTGATCCCCTCTTCCTTGTGGCAGATACTGGAACACTACTATCATGTTGCCCCTGTTTCTTCTTTTCTTTAGACTAGCCACACCCAAGTCCTGTAGCTGTTCTTCGTATGTTTTAGTCTTTGTTCTTAGAAGCACGAAGCTGAAGACACCAGCCTGAAGATGACGAATGTGACTTCGTCGAAACGTCGCCAAGGTACTTTTAATTCTACGCGGGAGAAAACCCGAATAACTAAAGACCTACATACAAACACCCGCGAAAACCTCAGAAAACAAATATATATATATATATATATATATGTAGGTCTTTAGTTATTCGGGTTTTCTCCTGCGTAGAATTAAAAGTACCTTGGC